CGGGCAGATAACTATTGTTCAATGCACGTGAAGATGAAGTATTACTGTTTCCATTCAGAAAATTTGATTGTCTATGCTCAAACTTCACCATAATTTTTGCTCAATGTTTTGTTCACTAGTACTACAAAATAGCAACCATAACAAAATACTTTTGAATACAAACTTTATTAATGAACTAACTTTTGTTCAACGCTGTAGTTGAAGAGTCAAAATGTGTCCTATGTTTCTGAACAGAGAGAGCAATCATATGCGAAATTTTTAGGAATACTTAATTACAGTCCTGCATGAGTAATGCAGCATGATTCCTTTTTTTTCTGATGGGCAGACACAGCAGACACAGACTTAATTAACTAGATGATACCCCACACATTTGCTACGGGAAATTATAGCAATGTATTTTGATGGATTTGTTGTATGGAATATGAATATATGATTTAGTGTATTAATTATTGAGGTGGGTCTTTTTCATGCATGGTGGCATGTGTGCATGTGGAGATAAATAGGTTAGTGAGGATTAACTATTTAGTTATATATGATTAAAATTCATACATGGTGTTCTGTATGCAGCATTAGGCCAAGTAAGTGGCTCTACTTATACGATTAAGATACCCGTTCTTGGAACAAGTTTGAGACATGCGTAAACAATATTTGCACATGTTTATATTACGAGGAGAAGCAAGCATAATGCAAGAAGCGGGACACCTTGGCCAAACACCAGCTGTGAAGCCAATCGAGATGAACAATACACGTCTAGCCTAATCTCTTATGGAGGTTGTTGCAGCCAGTGAAAAGTATAATTTTGGTCCCTCAACTATAATTCCAGGAAAACCTATTCCTTCAACTCTAAAACTGTATAGTTTTAGTTCCTTATCCTGGGTTACGTGGATTCAGTCATGACATGGCACGGTTTGACTCACTCGGACCTGACACCGTGGCACAGTCTGGTTATTGGCATAATATGAAAAATAGACCACTATATAAGCAAAAAGAATCAGAATTTAAAAAATAAAAGATGGAGTTGTGAATGCACATTGGTTGTAGATGGATGACAAGGAAGCATACAATTGTTTGTCTTGTTTCAGTTTGAAAAACGTACAGGCAGGCAGCTGTGTAGTAATTGCTTACTTTCTCAAGCCATGAATATGCATAATTGTAATTTTTTTTGGATTTACAATCAGGTATTTTAACATCATAAGTATATCCAAACTAACTTCTATTTTCATTTCCCTACTGATCAGATTAGTTTAAATTGATGTTATTGGTTCACGAAAATAAACCAGAAGATGTGATTCAAGACATGAAAACGTGTGTATTTTATTTCACCAATTTTATATCCTCAAGTAAAAAGAATGGTTGATTCTAAAACTACTTAAATAATATATTCTTATCTAACACCTTAAATCTTTCACTAATTGATTTCACTCTTTCTTACAAAAATGCTGGTTGCTTTGCCAAGTGATCATATTTTCATTTCTGTGATATTATTTGCTATGAAGATTACCATTTCTCTCATGATTATGTATGCACTAAAACAGGTTGCTCTCGCATCTGGGAATAAAAGGAACATTGAAAAAGTGAGGGAGGCTCAGCTTAGCATTAACTTGCTGAATGTTGTAACTGTGGATGCAATTGGTCTGCCCTTGAACGAAGATAATCTGCATCTTACCACTGAAGCACAAGTAAAGCTTGGAGAAAGTCTTGCACAAACCTACATCAGTAACTTTTTACAAGCAACCTGCTAGGAGACCCGCAAATGTCATGATAGGTAGAATTCTTGAGGCTCCTTTCGTACAACCCTTGATGTTTGGTAATAATTTTATCATGATATTGTGTTCATTTTTTATTATGATATACCTATAAACTCTACAAGAGAACCAAATGAGTCAAACGTCTTTCTGCAGGTGAAATTCTTCATTGTTTTGTTAGCTGTACGCCTGTACCCTGTCTGTGTTTCTTCTTGTATAGATATCGTGAAAGTTTCAGCATTCATTGTGCATAAACTTACCTATCTCTCGTATCTGAATTAGAACAATATAGTGTACATGATAATAGCATTTTTATTTCAAACTGGAAAATTTGGTTTCTTTTTCAAGATAAGCAAATCATATGAATACTTTTCTCACTGGTGCTTGAATTTCTTGTGAGAGGTTTCTTTTAATGTATTCTTTAAATGAATTAGATTGGTGCGCAGTGTGGACCTATTGTTTTCTTTCCTTTTAGTTGCTCTGTGGTAATTTAGGCTTTTTTTTTTCAATTTGTGTCCTATCTCTTGCTCCGGGTTGCCCCCTTTGTTTCCTATCTCTTGATAATACACTTTGGGTGTTGGGATTCAAAATTTCAGTTTCCTTCCTTCCGGTTAGCGTCACTTTGCTTGATCTTTTAAACTGTTGTGACCTCCAGAAGTATTGTTCTTATTTGCTTCCCAATTTTGCAGGGCTGTCCCATCTTCATTCCACGGCACATATGTTTGACAGTACCCTTGCAAGACTGTCATGACAACCTTTTATATTTGGAAGGCATTGTAACATTTGCACATCCACAGTACAAAGCGAATAAAAATCATGTAAATGAAAATTTGCATGGATTCCAAATGTATTTCCTGTTTTAAGGTACTTCATAATGTTTTCCATGTTTCTGCAGTAATGAAAAGGATGCATTTTATATTTTCAATTACATCGACACGACAACCTTGTGTGCGCGCAAAACAACATCAGATCCCTCTAGGATCCGCAAGAACCTACACTTGATGCGACCATGCGTACCTCAAATACTGATGATGTGGGTGGTGTTCCTCTTTCGGGGGAATGGATGGTGTTCCTCTTCATGTAGCATAGCACGCAGTACTTGATGTAGCATGGCATGCATCCCCTGTGAACCGGGAGGTAATTATTCAGCTCTCCTACTGATGCACTCAGCCCTCAGCCGGTTGACATGTCATACGTGTCTCCAGCCTTTCTGAACGTTTGAAACCTACTGGGTACTTTAGTGATCTAAACGCTCTTATATTTCTTTATGAAGGGAGTACATACGATCTTAACACATGAAAACAAACAACACTTATGATATGGTAGAATAAAATGAATACAATCAAAAGATGTGTCTGGAAAACTTGAATGGAACATCAAAATATCTTGAGTCATCTCATACTCTATTATCTGCATCATGGTGTCCATTTAGTGTGATACAAGTTTTGAACGTCTAGTCCGCTGGTTTCAAAGAGAAATGTCTAGGACAGGAAAAGTTTCAGCCTATTAAAGATAAGTTCCTGAAGTTCTTTATCACGTGCAGCAAAGGAAGTTCTTTATCAAGTCTGTGGTGTAAGCCCTCCCAACGTATGCCATGAGCATTTTCAAGTTCTCGAGTGGGCTGTGCAAGGAATCAGCGAAGCTCACTCGTAACTTTTGGTGGGGCGAACCTTGGAAGCAGTCGACAGGATTGTAAAACAGTCTGGCCAACGAGGGGAAAACAACATTTTCAACTCCACTGATCAGTTTCAAACAACATTTACAAAACATGTCATCCCCAAAAGAGTTGCGAAAATATTTTGCCCTTGAAAGCAACTTCATGACATAGCGAGAAGTTAGCAAAACATGTAAGGCCTAACGGCCAGGGTCTCCTCTCTTCTACTGATCACTCGATCAACATTGTATTCCACTCCTTTCTGCCAAATCAATGAATGCCAGCAATTTGCTGGTCTTTCAAAAAAAGAAAACTTTTGGTGGGGCGATGAATATGATCGAAGGAAGGTTCACTGGATGGCTTGAGACAAATTGACGAAACCTAAATACTCCTACAGAGGCATGGGCAAAATATTACCCGAGTGGAGAACTGATCGATAATTCATTTATTCGCAACTCGTCTCCTTGCTGGCATCGTATATGTAATGAGATTAAGTTGTTAAAGAAGGGAGTCCATTTGGAGAACTCGCTCGGGTAGAGATAACTAGATGTCGTACGGCGGCGCTCGACGCTGGCGGCATGGGGGTAACTCGCGCCGCCGCCGCCGCCTGGAGTTCTCCCTTCGCTCACTCCCCGCGCCACCGCAGGGACGGCCGGCGAAGCCACGTCGGTCCCTAGGATGATGGCAGCCGAGCAGTTCCCCCTACCCCCACACGCGCTGCGCCCCTCCCTCCCCAAGACGGGGCGGCCTGGTCCCCTCTAGCGCACCCTCCTCCCTGCCGGTCTGGCCAGGCGCGGTCTGGTCATGGGCATGGTGGTGGTGGAGTTGTTTTCCTCCCCCATGCACTGCGCCCCTCCTCCCCTAGATTGGATCTTGTGTGCGTGTTGCCCCCCTCCGGCTGCCCCTTCCCTTGCCGATTTGGCTGGCAGGCCTCCTGGAAGCTCACCTCTGCAACCCCTTCCCTTCCCGTGGATGCATCCAGCCTTGCTGTTGGTGTTGCGGCTTGCCGGGGTGTGGAGGTGGATGTTGCGGCCGGCCGCGCCCTGGTGGGTGCTGCCCACCTCGGGTGCCCCCTGAACCGCCTCTCCGTTCTATAAATTCCCAAATATTCCAAAACCCTTCGGGGTAGCCCTAGATCGGAAGTTCCGCCGCCGCAAGCCTCTGTAGCCACCAAAAATCAATCGGGACCCCGTTCTGGCACCCTGCCGGAGGGGGGAATCATCTCTGGTGGCCATCTTCATCATCCCGGCGGCCATTATGATGAGGAGGGAGTAGTCCATCGTCGGGGCTGAGGGTTTGTACCAGTAGCTATGTGTTTAATCTCTCTCTCTCTCTCTCTCTCGTGATCTTGAGATGTCACGATCTTGATGTATCGCGGGCTTTGTTAATATAGATGGATCATATGATGTTTCTCCCCTCTCTACTCTTGTTGTGATGAATTGAATCTTTACCCTTTGAAGTTTTGTCTTGTCGGATTGAATGTTCAGATCTGAAAACACATGATGTATGTCTTTCCGTATGAATACTTGAGGTGACAATGGAGTATCATATTGATTCACTTGATATATGTTATGGCACTCAACTTGCGGATTCCCGCGGTGACATTAGGGTAATCTATGCATAGGGGTTGATGCACATTTTTATTATCTTTTCTCCGATAGAAACTTTGGGGTCCCCTTGTAGTTCTTTGTGTTGGATTGAGCATTATGAATCTGAAATTGTTTGCTACATATAATATAATTAACTCACGGGTACTCGTGGTGACATTGGGGTATCTAGGTGACATTAGAGTTGCTTGATATGTGTCATATGGTGTTATTTTAGTACGAATTCTTGATTAGATCGATCAAAAAGAATAGCTTGCTGTTATTTTAGTACAAACTCTAGGATAGATCGATCGGAAAGAATAGCTTTGAGGTGGTTTCATACCCTACAAACAATTTCTATCTTTTGTTCTCCGCTAATAGGAACTCGGGAGTGATTCTTTGTTGCATTTTGAGGGATAGTCATATGATCCAACTATGTTAGCATTGTTGAGAGATTGCACTAGTGAAAGTATGCACCCTAGGCCTCATTTTCCATCATTGCAATACCGTTTTTGCTCCGTTTTACTATTTACTACCTTGCTGTTTTTTATTGTTCGCACTACAAAAACTCATATCTACTATCCATAGTACACTTCTGTCACCATCTCTTCGCCGAACTAGTGCACCTATACAATTTGCCATTGTATTCGGTGTGTTGGGGACACAAGAGATTTCTTGTATTTGATTGCAGGGTTGCTCGAGAGAGACTGTCTTCATCCTACACCTCCCACATATTGATAAACCTTAGGTTTATCCACTTAAGGGAAATTTGCTACTGTCCTACAAAACTCTGCGCTTGGAGGCCCAACACGATTCTACAAGAATAAAGTTGCGTAGTGGACATAAGCAACCTATCAAATATTCTTGTCTTGAGTCCTCGCAGCACTTCAGCGTTCACCCTCTCAGCTTGTCCATTGCTTCTGGGATGGGCAATAGAAGCGAATGAAACCTTGCTTCCGAGGGTTTGAACGTTTATCGCGGCTTGTGAATTGGGTGCCGCCGTCAGTGATGACTTTGGCGGGTACTCCGAAACGGCACACTATTCCTTTCAAGAACTGGATAGCTGATTGTGCGGTTACCTTCCTCACGGGCTCCAGTTCCGGCCACTTTGAAAACTTGTGGATTGCAACGTGCAAGAATTCAAAGACCCCGGTAGCATAGGGGAAGGGGCCCAAGATGTCGAGCCCCTAGACCAAAAATGGCCATGATAAAGGAATCGTTTGGAGAGCTTGAGCAGGTTGATGGATGTTCTTGGAGTGGAAGTGGCAGGCTTCATATCTGGTGACTAGTTCGATTGCATCTTGGAGGGTCGTGGGCCAGTAGAAACCATGTTGGAAAGCTTTTCAAACCAAGGCTCTTGATCCAATATGGGACCCGCACATGCCTTTATGTATCTCTGCCAACAGTTCCTTCCCTTCTTCTCGGCAAATGCACTTCAATTTCACATTGTTGGGCCTCCTTCTGTATAACGTTTCGTCGACGAACTGATACATACTAGACCTCCGGGCTACTCTGTTAGCTTCTTCTTGCTCTTCGGGAAGTTCTCTAGTTTGGAGGAAATGGACTATGTGTTGTGCCCAAGTAGGAGCCTGGGGCCCGACAAGAAGGGCCAATGGCACCTCCTCATTCGTGGGAGCGCATATTTCAACCGCAAGAACTGGTAGTTTGGCGGGAGGATGCTTCTCGCCATGCGAAGTGGAGTTGTTCCCTCCAACCTCTCTACTGGGGGCTTCAGGAAGCTCTTCCGGGAGGGGCTT